AGAGTGACAGTAAGAGATTTTTAGTTTTGGCTCACCGGGCACAAATCAGATTTTCCGCAGAGGAAAAACCCGCCCCCCTTTTTTCCCGGGGAAGCGTGTTTTTGAAAGGAAGACTGAATGAAAAGACAGAAAGTGTTAGACAGAACGGAAACCAAAGTCAACTGGCTCCTTGCGCCACACTGCTTCATTAACAAACAGAGCTGATTGATAAAGTGAAGTCACACTCTCCCCAGGCTGGGGCAAGAGGTCCCCCAAATGCTTCCTCTTCTAAATTATTTAAAAAGCAGGACATGGGCAAGCAGAAGGAGGGTCAATAGAGTCGCTTCACTCAAGACAAACTGTCAGGTGGATGTGAAAGGTGTGTGTGATATTTGCACAAGCTTTGCACATGTGCCTTCAGAAAACCTGAATATGTCCTGAGGTATTTCTACAAGAAGTTGGTCAATATGTCCTGAGGTATTTCTACAAGAAGTTGGTCGCCTGACAACCTATGTGTGTATGTAAGCACTCACTGTTCACACTCCTTAGAGGGGAAGTTCCTTTGTGTGTGTGAGGGAGAAAAGAGAGAGAGAGATTTTCCAACAAGCATCTGCGGAGTGCATCAGCCATTGAGTGCAGTGTGAATGGATCTGCGGTGACAACAGGACAATAGCATAACTTAAGTCTGCTGCTCCTGCCTGGATAAAAAGTAGAGCCTGCTGGAGACCTAAATAAAGCAGCCCCGCTGGTCCCACCCTTGAGTTGTACATTCTACACCTCACATTATCCCCTGCATCCAGGATGGGTGTGGCTGTTGCTGAAATCTCCTTTTGATACATCTGACTATGGATGCATGCAGAGACAGACAGGTGATAATGTGAGAGAACCAGCTGAAAAAAGTGAATGCTTATAGTGACAGAATAAAAATAGAAAACATAGAGAAAGGAAGAAAAGGCTCATTGGGAGACTAAGAGGGATATTCATGTGTGTGTGTGTGCTCACATGTCAAAAAAGGGACAGTTGGTATGAACCCGACCCAGATAAAGATATAAAATAGATAAGTATGAGGATGTGTCATGGAATATTCTGTTGAACTGTGCTCTATGTGTTATACAGGACCACAAAAACATCTCCCTATTTTGGTGCTCTCTGCACAGGAGTTCTGCACTTTTCCTGCACTCTTTCAGCTGTCTGAATGCTTATAATCACAGAATCCCAATCCTCTCTGGGCTCCAACCTCTTCTGTTGATGGTGGAATGAGAAATGATGAGACAAGTGTGTGTGATGAAAGTGGGTGGAGGAGGGGCAGATATGGTTCCCCAGTCCCAGTCCTCCATTGAGCCAAAAGTCATGGTCATCTGTCAAAACAAACAGTCATCTCTTGTTTAAAAGTGTCTCTGACTCCATGTTTCACCATTATGATGCAGTGAAATTCCTGCATCGCTCCATAAACCAAACATTAGTGAAACACAGGCTAAATGTTTGCATATATTCCACTGATAGCTGCAAATACAACAGCTTGGAATGGAACATTAATACCTTGCTGGCTGGCCTGGCCTGTGTTTGTGAGCCACAGTTCACTGACTGCCCTATTTAGTCAAAAATTAAGCCTATGAGGTAAACACTGTAGGGCAAGCATTGCTTCATAGTGAAAGGTGTAGAACAGTTTGTATTTCTCACAGATTTTCCTCCTGTGTTCTTTCTCATTATAAATAATGTTTATAACACAGGGTAATATAACACAGGTTGGGTTTGGCTCCTGTTGACTTAATGATTTTGGTTAGTCAATGAACAATTTAGCACACACAAGGTCAGTTTAGCAGTTGTTTTCTGGAATCCTTGAACTGTTTAAGACTCTTTGTGTCTGTTTTTCAAACAATATTTTTGATTTGCTTGTCGGCTAACACTACATGCTACATGGGAGTTTTTTTTTTTCCCTTTGCTCTTTTCAGCATTTATTTCTGTAAAGAGCAAAAGGGAGGATGGCAATGAGCATGGCAACCTTCAGCACAGGTGAACTTGTTTTATTTTTCATAAAATAGCTGCTTTTTAAACTATATGATTAAATAATCAATCTGTATTGTGTAAAACCTGCTCAATACATATTAGAATATCTATCTATCACATATGACTCCACAAGTTCCTCAGTGAAAATGTACATTTACAAACAAGACCGTTGCCACATTTTAGTGTTATCATCCATACAAATGAGTATTAATATAAATGATTTAAGTGTGTAAAATAATGTACAAAAGTCAAGCATTTAACTGAGAAAAAAAGTGGAAATGTGAACTTGCACCTCTGAGGCCTTCAGCTTGTTTTTTAATGACAAACTACCCATATTTCCCACATGTACAGTGGAACATAATACAGCCTAGTGTCTTACATCAGGACCTGTAGGGTAAATGGTATTTCCTTTACCAAACATTAAAATATGTTTATACTGTTTATAATTCCAGTGTTATTACAAGTCAGCATGATGAATGTTTAGTTAATATGTATATATCACAACTGATGTACTTCACCTACTGTCAAAAATACGCAGCTGGGATATACTCTTGTTTTTATTGTCAGATAAACTAAAATGAGCAATAACTCTGCACAGCCATTAGTTTTAATTTAAAGGACTTCTGGTTCTGACTTTAATATCAGCATTGGCAATGAAACTAAATATTGTTCCAGTATTCAGCCTTATAAAAACAGTTGTTTTATGTTGTAGAGGTTTATGTGTGCCTCTGCTCTTCCCCTCCCTTGCCCAGCGGCAGAGCACAATGAGATTTACTCCACCCCAATTAGCTCGTGGCAATTTACAATTTCTTTCTGCCTAAAATTAAAATTTTAAATATGCTCTTGTGTCTGTTTTCCCAAATATATTCAGTACACTGTTAAAAAGTATGCCTAACACCGTTAAAGAACCTCGATGAAGCCTTGATACAGAGCTTTCTGTTTCTGTCTACGGATGTCCACGCATTCGAGCTATCCTCAGAGGCGTCGGGGCAGAAGGAGCACACAGTGGAACTCTGCTCTTCCATCTGTAGGCTATACAGTACATATATAGGAAGCCTGATAAGAGATTTATCTTTGTCTCTAGACTAGACTGTCGTAACTTATTCTCTCCTTTACTGTCTCCTTTTGCTCTCATTCACTGTGTTTTGCCCCTATTGTGTGCCAAAATGTATAGTCACAATGAGACAGTGGGTCTTTGTCTTCTGGGTGAGATTAGGAAGGAGGGAGTGAGATGAGGTGGGGCAGACGACGGTCGGGGCCGAGGAGGCATAGATTTGGGAGGTAGAGAGACGAGGGGGAGAGAGGGGTGTGTCTGGTGTCAGCCAGGGAAATGATGGCAGATGAAGTGGTGGGTAAAGTAGGGGGGTATGTAAGCAGTGAGGGGCTTAATGGGACCATTGGGATAGCCAGGCTTGGGAATACCAGTGTTGCGAATGTACTTAGCGTATCAGTTACTGACAGCAGGGTTGGGTGTAACCCCCCTGTGCTAAAATGAGATCTTTCAGTGTGACATCCATCCATGTCTGTTTCTGACAAGTCTTTTTTACCTGCCATCATAATAATGAATATTGATCTTTTCAGCTGTCTAAAACAAACCACAATATCTTAGGATGACCCAGCTCTTCTAGCACAGGATGCAGTGGGCAGCAGTCCTCACCTCACATCTCCACCAGCACCATCAGGTGCTCCAACAAATGCCAGTGATAAATAGATCCAGAGCCCCTCTCTGGACTAATCCAGCATGGATCTATAAGTCTGCATATCAGTAGCCTTTACTTCACAGTGCCTTATCACTTTGGACCTGCTAATCTTGAAAGCTTAAGAGCTCAGCTATCCCATACATCACCTCGCATTACACTAAATCCTCAGTTTGGGAGGAAGCCGGTTTCCCAACACCTGTCCCATTCTGATGTTTTACCACTGAGCTACTGACTTTACTTCAGACTAACATTATAAAATATAACCCGTGTACCTGGAGTGGAGGAGGAGATGAGTGTCGACAGTGAGACACAGAACATACAGTATAATACAAGTGACATGGCAGAACCAAAAAACAGAGGATATTTGGTAAAGGCCATAAAGTAAAATTAAGACACAGACAAAGAACAGTTTGTTTCTGCCTTAACTTGGCAGTGCAGTTTGAGGACACAGAATCAAACAGTGGTCTACCTAAATTTTGAGATCTAGGAAACAGAAAGACCATGTGACAAGGACTCCTAAATACTCTCCATTCAGACAAATCTTTTTATTTCTTTATGCACATGGATGCTGAAGCTCAGCTAAGAAGGCTTTTAGACTGGATTATCCTCAGGGGCCATGGGCTCAGTGATCATTAAAACCTCTCAGTATTGATCTGCCAGTGAAGCACCCACCACAGCCTCTGCACTAGAAAGCATCTCAGACCTCAGAAAAAAACATTCACTGCAAGGGCTCCTGCCCGCTTTAGAGAATAATCAAAGCAAGCGCATTACAGGGACTATGATTTTGTCCAATGTATACTGATGATGGTTTAGGTGAAGGAAACTATGAGTAACATGTAACCACATTTGCAAACAAACAGGCGAGCCTGTTTAAGCTCAAGGTGCCACACTGCTGCCCACAACCAAGTGGGTCATTTTCTCCCTATTGGGAAGCCAGAGATTGTTACATAAGTTGCATTTTGGTGGTGTGTGTTTCTCTAGAACACATGTAGCAGACAGATAATCAGGCTATTGTTTTACAGAAAATATTCCATTTTAGTTCAGCTATCTAATTATACTCCTGTTGCATAACGCCACAGGCCAGGAGTGGAAACTCCACAAGATCATTTGCTTTATTTATGTGGAAAATCACATTCAGTTGAGCAAAAGAACAAGCTCGTAGAAGGCCCGAAAACATGCTTGTCCACTGTGCTGCGTACACGAGTCATGACAGCACATGACTGCAGACCAGTTGCTTGAAGGTTATTTATTTGTTTTTCCTCTATGTATTGTTCTGTAATAAACATGTAGTATAGCTTATTGTATGTCTTTCTGTCCTATCTCCCTTCAGCTGATAGGATCCTTTGTTCTGGCCGTGGGACTGTGGCTGCGTTTTGACCCAGTAACTGTGTCTCTGCTCACCGGTGATAAGGCTCCAAACACCTTCTTCATTGGTGAGTACCGCAGCACACCTCAGCTAATCTCCACAGTCAATGTACGCACACTGTAGGTTGGTAACAATATATTGTTGTCATGATTTGGTTCCGCTGATTCCCATCCAGCTTTTATTTTTTGAGCTTCAGCATCCATGTGCATCCATGTGCATTTTATTTTACTTCCTGTTTTTGTTTCGGTCTTTTTACGTTCTTCATCACTCACATTAGTTTCACCTGCTTCGTTATTGTTTGCACCTGTTTACACCTCTATTTAGGCAGCGTCCTCCCACCAGGACGCTGCCAGATTGTTCTAGACCCCAGCTCTGACTTTCCAGCATTCTCTTCGGTATTGGTATTTTTGTGTTTCTGACCCGGACTGCTTCCTTGGATTGTTCTGTTCTGCCTTGCCCTCTTATTTCGGACTGCTTCAGTGTATCGGCTTAACGGATTTATCTTTGGACAACGCATTTTGGATCACCTCTGTTGTATGTGTTTGCTGGCTCTGATCTCGGACTGTTATACCGACCGTGAGTTTTGTGTTTCCACCGTGTCTTGTATGGTTTTTGTTTACGTTAGTTCTCTTATTAAAGAGACGGGTTTTGTTCATTACTTCCTTGTCTGGCCATTTAATGAGTTCACCAAACACTTTTCGGCCGCATCGCGCGTCGTTTCTGACATATTGCATCACATTCAACACAAGGCCATCGATTCAATCTATGTGTTGAATAATTCATTGAAGGTTGAATTATGGAAGGACTGTTGTCAACTGGAAATAATAAATTTTGTTTGTGTCACTGCATTGCCAGTTGTTTTTCTTGGAAAGCTGTGCATTGGTTTGTACTTTAAATATATGCTGCTGGGAAACCGCACTAAATGGGTCAAGGAAAGTTTTCGTTGTTTCCCTCTGACGTCTTAGCAATTACTTTCATTCTGGCTGACATCAATGGCTGGCATTTTATTACGACTTTATTTTCTAAAAGTTTGAAGCTCTGTTGTATGATTTTTAAGTTCCTTACCTAATAAATATGCTGTGCTCATCTTTGTCACACACAAACACACTCCATTACCACACACACAGAACTTGGGTATAAAGAACAAGTATGTGCTGCCCTACAGAAGTTGGTCCTTGTACACGTCTGCTATGTGATTGTGTTTGGTGAATGTCCCAATACCAAGTTTTGCTTTCACACTTTTGCATTACTCGCTATATGCGTGCTTCACACTAGAGATGTGTGAACAACAGGAAATTACTGCACATGAAGCGTATACACAAGGGATAACCATGTGGCTGCTAACCACTTTTCAATCAGTTACCCTGCTCAAATGGAAAGAGCCAGACAGAGGGGCGACATGGGGAAAGTTTAAAAGGCACATGGAAGAAGACAATCATGGAAACAGGTGGGAATCCATGGCAAAGTTCTTAAGTAAAAGCAAGATGCCATATGACATGACCGCACAGTGGCAGGAGGAGAGAGATGTGTTTAGCTCTACCTTTCTACACCCACTCTCAACTACACAGTCTGTGTGATAATGTCAGTTATTTTAACAGTCTCCAGACTAAACTATTCTGTTTAATTTCTTCTCTAAATCTAGCAGCTTTACAGTTAAGTGGTTATTACATGTAATAGTAGACAAAACCCTATAATGCCATGAAGGTATTTCATCACTTCCTTTTCTCTGTGCATGGATGTCTGTGTGGTTTGACCGAGGGTGGAAGGCTTCTGTCAGGTCCTCTGCGAGAATAGTACGACATGTGGCTTTGACAGCTGCGAGCGCTCATCAGTCGCTCCTCCTCGTTCCTATGGCGTCAAGCCCACACAGAACTTCTTTGTCATTTGAAATGAGGTGCGATAAGGAAGTGAGAACAACTTTAAATTAACTATCTAAAAATAAAACTAGCACAGCATCTCTGTCATTTCTAAATTCAGCATCACTTGTCACCTGCTGAGATAACATGCTAACTGATCATGTGACACCTCAAGCTGCAAACTAACAACAAAAGGAACAACCCTCCAAAGTCATCAAATATTTTCATTGACGCACCTGGATCCTATGAACTGTCCCCTATTGTTCCCACCTGAGCACAACATCACCTGTGGGCTGATGCGTCCTCTCTCACCCTGTCCTCTACAGAGCTGTCACCTAGCAACAGACCCCACCTGTATGAGAGCACACTGGTGGAACCAGTCTGTTGTTGATTTCCTCCCTGCAGACCCATGATATAATATTCCTAATGACAGGGTTAATGGGAGACTGGGGCATCTATGAAACATGAAGCATCCCATTGAAGTCAGGCTCACGAGGCTTTTTATAAGGCATCTCATATGAGGACCCTGTTAAAAGGCACCACAAGCAACTCCACTCTGAAAAAGGATCTGACAGAGAGCTGGCCACTTTGCTGCCATTTGTTCAGCTGACCACAGAAATAGCACAGTTTCAAATGTTCATGCCACTGTCTGAGCTCTGCTTGGCAATCTAGAGAGTGACAGTTTCATCTTACACTCACTTGGCAGTTTATTAGGTACACCTTGCTAAATCTAATAGAGTCTAATCCTCTATTCATGAAGGCGATAATGTTCAGTTTTTGCAGGCAGCCGTGTGTGCTGCTGTTGAACTGTATTGTGTTACACAGAGAGGTGTTTCTGCAATTCATTCTGGCTTTACTGATGTTTAAATAGAGTGGACAAAATAGTAGAAACAATACATTTCAACAGCAGCATAAACTACAGCCTTCAAAATGATTATACAGTAGAATCAACATCTCTCTTAAACTGTTTAAACAAAAACCGTTTTTATTGCAGGACAGTTGTAGGCTTTTAAACTGCATTCATTTTAGGTAGGTGTACCCAATAAACTGCCCACTGAGTGAGTGTACATTTGTAGCTCTAATCTGCCCCCTGCTGGTGATTGTGAATTATAATTGCCATATGAGCTAGCAGCTAAATTAAGCATGTTAACAGAGATGTATTCGGGAATCAAGTCATGGAAGCTCAGTGAATGCACCTCAGTGTATAACATCTTGTTGTTTGTTTACCTCATGACTTAAGGTTTTATTTACCTGCCTTTTTGTTTACAATTATCATTAGTGTATGTACAGTTAGTGACAACCCTTATCCCTCTGTTCCTCAGGTGTGTATATACTGATTGGTGCTGGCAGTCTGGTGATGTTAGTTGGTTTCTTTGGCTGCTGTGGAGCTGTTCGAGAATCTCAGTGCCTGCTGGGTTCAGTGAGTTCAATTCTATACAAACACATGAGCATTCATCATGAAATTCTTAATATACAGTAATATATAAAACTAAATATTTTTAAGTAGGCAGCTATTCCATCTATAGCCTATCTACAAGCCCACTATGTGGATTTTTTTTCCCAGTTTTTTGCCTGCCTGTTGATCATCTTTGGAGCTGAGGTAGCAGCAGGGGTGTTTGGATTTTTAAACAAAGACAAGGTACATTATTTCATAGCTTGAGTAGTTGAATATGATATTTTGCATGCAACAATAAGACTGACAAACACATCACAACACATTATTCACTTATACTCTCTTGCACAGATTATCCAAGACATTCAGAACTACTACGTAACAACGTACAATGAAAACAATAATGGCACTTTGATCAGCTCATACCAGAAAGTAGTAAGTAAAAAAATAAAAAGGTAACCTTTGGCAGAAAATCATATTGCTAAAAAGAATTTTGCATTTGCTTCTGATTCTAATGTTCTTCTTCTAACTTTCAGCTGAACTGCTGTGGAACCACAGAAAGCCGCTGCCCTGATGCCGAACATGCTACCAAGGTAAGATCTGTCACTAGCTCTAGACACAGAACGAAAATTCAGTTTAGTCTCTTTGTTATTTAATGATGGAGTCATGGTGCCAAATATAAAGCATCCCTGTTCACTTGATCTTAACACTGCTTGACTCCTCTTATCTTTGGACTGCAGGACTGTGAGACAGGCATCAAAGACTTCTTCGACAGTAAACTCTACATCATTGGCTATGTGGGTATCGGCATCGCTGGAGTCATGGTGAGTTGGGATCACAGAAGAGTTGAAAACACACAAATACAGATTCTGGTTCAGAATGATTCATCTAAAATCATTTCCTCTCAACAGATCATTGGGATGATCTTCAGTATGGTTCTCTGCTGTGCCATTCACAACAGCAGGGAGGTCATCTAAGCTTGACCCTTGACTTCTACCCCTCACCCCTCCTTTAGCCAAACCTGAAAGACTGTACAATTTGTTCAAATATCAACCCCTGTCCATCATCCACAAAGGGACCCAGGCAACTAAGCATGTTCAAAACATTCCTTTCCACTATGGTGCTCAGCCCAGCTCTCCTGGCCCGATCTTTGTTCCTCTAGAGTTTTCTTTATTTATTTGCCATCGCTAATTAAACAGCATATTCTACCTTTTATAACAGTCTAATAAGACTTAGACAATTCACATATCCAGTGGGAACAGTATAAATTCTGATGCTGACCTGACAGTCTGTCAGTTTATCTTTTACTCATGCCCATTTGGCTGCCATAAAAATTTTTGAACCACTTAGTGTCACAGTAGTGTCAGTGCTTTTTCACACAGCCTTGACACTGACCCCATGGCTGTGGGAAACTGAAGCCTACGAGAGCAATCTGAGGTGAAAGCAGCTGTGTGCATAGAAATCAGCATACACAGATGGATGCGCACAGACACACAAACACAGCAGTATTGTGTCTCATGAGACCAGAGCCCTAAAAACGGTTGTCTGACATCTCACAGGGAGTCTTGATTGGTCGAATCAGAGTAACCGTCTACTTACTATACCAATGTTAAAGCGGTCTTGGCAAGAAAGTGTATTTCCCCAAATTTGTAAGTATCACAATTATGCAATCTCAGGATATTTAACTTAAAAGTTAACCACTTTCCACACAGTGCTGCTACCTTTAGAAAATGTTCTCTAGGGTGAATTAGACAACTCAAGTAAGTTTCAAGAGTCCTCTGCCGAGCAGCAATTATTGGAAAAGCTGCCTGTAAAGGCAGGAAAGGTACACAAAAACATCACAGACTGTATACACTGCATTTCAAAACAGTCAGCAGGAGCGTGAACAATACAAGAATTGTAGTTAGGGAGCTAAAACATGCAGACACACTAGTCTGATCCTTTCAGCGTGATTTTAAAATCAGTCTTATGCCAACTGAACTACAAACCAAATCCCCTGGTCATGCCAAAAGAAAATACCACTTCCTAGACTTTTTTCATAAATATATAGGCTCTCTTATGTATGAGAATACCGTGGATGCTCCGTCGATTGTATGTTAAGAAACTGAGATCACATGGACTTGTAAACATGTAGTAAGTGCTCAGCTAAAATTATTTGGTCATCCAAGCCAGGTGTTGCATCTTTCCCCATTTCTCTCTTTCCTCGTGTGCCTTCAAAGTACACGGTCAAATAACAAAACCCAACTTCTCATCATTCTTACTTCACTGACCTCAGCAGGGCTGAATAGATACCCAACCTGAAAGCAGTTCCATTTCTCCCGATTAAATCAGGTCACTATTAATTTTGACTTTAAGTATCAGGACTCCAGTATGTAAATATATGTGAGTTTATTTGTAGTTGTACATTATTTGTGGCTAATGTGATCATTATTATTTAACACACTGTGTGTAGACAGAGGTTTGTAGTAGTTGTACAGTGTTGTAATCATGACAGTGTTTGTAATTAGCCAGAGAAAATCCACACAGCTAAAACCGCTTCTTAATGTGTCTTTCTTTGATGACAGCTATTTTTCAACACGTGCACATAGCGAATATGTACATATGTTTGTAGAGTTGGACTGCAGTTAAATGGCACGCGTGTTCAATGAGCAGCACATAAGGCCCGGCTTTCCATTATTGTTTTGGTGTGTTTTGATGTGTCATGCTCAGCTGTGACTTCTTAGCCAAAAAACAGCTGAAGTGGTGGAAGCAACACTTTCTCTGCCAACTGTTTTGAAATCCTCTTGGTACTATAAAAATGTAAGTATAACGTAGCACAAGTGAGGAGACAACCAAGCTTAGCACCTCAGGATGTTGGGATGCCAGTAGGTAGTGGGCCAAGGCCACTGAAATAGATTGAACTAGTTTAATGCTACTCAGTCCACAGGTTGTTGCTGTGTTAAATGTGGAGACATGACGTACTGTGCACCTAAAATCAACTGTCTACATGGCCAAGCCTTTCATAGTTGATTGTGTTTTAATTTATTTTAATATCATTCCAGGCTTCTCAGGAAGATAGGTGTTTGAAGTTTAATAAAACCTTTAAAGTTAAAAAAAAAAAAAGTGTTTCATGTGTATTTTTCTAAGTATTTTGGCGTTTATGTTTCCCATTCTGACAGATACTTTATATGGATTTTCTTTCTATATATAATAAATAGCCAAAGTTTAGTAGTAGTTATACATTTTGAAGGAATCCTCAGCTAAACAGTACTAATGTACTGTAGTATGGAAATTTACCCTAGGAGAAATGGGGTGCAGTAGGTGGTGAGATCTTATTATATTCAAGCAGATTATGGTTTTTAATGCAGCATGGGAAGAAACTGTTTGATTATTTTGTTTTAAAGATGCTTTCCAACTGTAACATTACATAGTATAGTGATCTCTGTTACATGGATTTGATATCCCCTGTGATGAAGTAGGTTTCCAGGTTTAGTCCCAGGAGTCTTATGTCAGAGTTTCACCTTTCTGCACTTGAGCTAAAAGAACAGTTGAATATTTAGTTCAGGGGACAGGTATGCGTGCAATGTCAGCAAAGAGTCCAGGACTACCCAGGGTAGAATTACCCAACACAGCAGCATGCGCGTTCCACTACCACAATCTTATCCATGCATGCGTGTGATGCATGTGTGAGGAAGAAGGGTAACACCTTTCAAGCTTGCATCAGAAAAAGGTATTAATATCTACAGGCAACCTGCTGCTGGTTTTCAATAACCCACCGTCCCACTTCAGGCTACACAGACTCCAGAAATAACACAAACAAACCCTGCATTTACACATATTTATTCAGAATTTAGAAGACTGAATTTACATATGTAACTTTCAAATGAAAATAAATCTTCCCAGCTGGTTGAAACATTTCTTACACGTTGAAAGGCTACAAGTTAGAGTTTGACTTGCACAGTTTGAGAAAAATGGAAAACTACAGGATAGATATTTACAGAGGTAAACCCCACTAAATTTTCCAGAAGAGAGAGTGCAGTCCAACATTGTGCACTGTTCAGCTTCTAAATGCCTAATGTTATACTGTACATTTGTGTGGGCTCCTGTATCTCTGTCCGTCAAGAAAATCTGCCCAGCGCAATGTAGCACTTTCTCTGAAGACTTGGTCCCAAAAGCACAGTACATGCCACCAATAAAATCTTATCACTCTAATAAACCACCATCAAGCAACATCTTTGTCATAAAAAGCAGTTATTCACAGTCAAGTGCAGAATTTAAGCTTGAAAGTTACATAATCACAGCAATGTAGGTTGCTACAGAAAGATTTGCAGAGCCCAGTAAAAACCCAAAACACCTTAACCACAACTGCTTTGAAAAATATGGGAAACCATTTCTTGTAACAGAAACCCTGGTGCCCCTGTATGACGCAGCAGAGGACGAGCAGTCCAGATCTTGTGCTCATAAACTACCATGTCTTTTCCCTACTAGATTGATAATATGACAATATGTGGAAATTGTTTTGTGAAATAACTTATTTACCAAATTAATAAATAAATGTACTTCAAAAACAAATATACTATATACTGGGATCAACATCCGTGGCCCAGTTTCACACAACAACCCTTTAAAACAGGATTAAAGCTTTTCAAGTAAACTTTCAATATTCTGCTGTCACTACTTGGTGCTGCTCTTGCAACACCATGTAACAGCCATCGCGTAGTGGCTGCCAAGATGGGGCAGTTGGAGAGGAAGGCAGGTTAGGGTTTCTATGAAGGGTAAGTGATATGGGGTTGATTTAGGGGTAGGGGTTCAATCTAAGGAAACAGGGTGAAGGGTTTGGTGCCACAGGAGTCAAGTCTGATAAATGGATAATCAGTGTTGATTATCAAGTCCCTCAGTGAGGGAAACAATTCTTTCCTCACTACAGGCTCCACTGAAGCAAATACAGATAAGTAAGTTTCAATCTCAGTCTCTCAAATAAGAGTTAGTAAAATTTCAAACCATTTTGAAATAAAAAATGGCATCTCTCTGATTCCATCAGGTGTTTTACCTTAAACACCTCTAACAATAAAGAAGGTACACAGTAAAAGAGATGGCTACATCCAGGGCATAGTTGCCTGCTATTTAATGAGGTGGCAGAGAGATATGGAAACAGCTTTTGCTTATGCAGAGTAGATGCCGTATGGGGTGTACCCAAGCAGAAACTCTCCAACTCCTACAAAGTACACAACCTGAGCAATGCCAAAGAGTGGGGCAATAACCAGGGCCCGGCAACCAGCCCCCTTGAGGAACGCTCCGGGACCCTCTTTTCTCATGATCTTCCTACAATGGAACAGAGAGCGCAGGGTTAGCACAGTGTGTATAATAGTCATACCAACCATGGGGAGAGGGAGGGAGAGGCACGATGTTTGATGGTGCTAGGATTCATCCTAGTAACATTTACTAGGAATCCAAAGACTGAGATATGATTACCTGACACAGTCCACTACTCCATTGTAGGTTTCCTCATTAGTTCCTTTTTTGAGTGATTGCAGTCTTGTTTTCACCACTGCACAAGACAAAACTTATTTTAGCTGAGAATTATAAAATGTGAAACAGCGCACAAAATTTCAGTTAAAAAAAAGCTTCTGGTCAGCTCCCAGTCCCCCAAGACACTGGTTAGTTATTCGCATAGACTGAATCACCCACCGTCACAAGGGCTGACAGCCACAGCAGCAATGGATCCAGCCAAGCAGCCGGACATGAAGGACCAATAGAGGGGCACAGATGGGTCTTCAAACGAATGCTGACCGAGCTGGTGCAGATGTGCAAAGACAGGGAAGTACACGACAGAGAACGGGATGTCCCTGAAGAGTTAATAAACAAGCATATTCAAATTAAGAAGGCACTGACAAGAGATGAAAAAACAATTAAACAAGAGCAAGCATTAAATTTCATCTCACCTCATTAAGGTGGCTCCGAGTCCCCTGTACAGTCCTGTGACTCCTCTGGTCCTCAGCAGCTCTCTGGTGATCTGTGTGGCAGACACTCGCGCAGGGCTAGCATTGTAAGAACGGCTAAGAACAGCACTGGTCCCCCCAATCTTCAGAGTTGATACCACAGGCATCACCCTCTGTTGGGCCACTAGCAGATACAAGGAACATTCTATCAATTTGTTTCATCAACACCTCAAAGCATTATTTTTAATGATGGTAGTCTATGCTGCTCATTTCCCTGTAAGTACCTAGCCTGCCAGCATCCTGCAGCTGGATCTTGAGCATCTCCATTGGTGTTGTGACAATGACCTGGCACATTCCTGCACAACATCCTGCAAACATCTCCTTGAACACTGTCAACCTGCCACTAAAGACACCAAATAAATAAAAAATTAGAAACCAAGAATGACACTGGCACTTTTTCAGAGCTACAGTACTTCTCACCCGTCTTTGATCAACCAGTGGCGGAAGAAGTCGTTAGCAGCAAGTTTGATGGCCTTCTCGGGGGTTACCAGGGTGAGATTTACTGCAGCACCTGCAATAATGAACAATACTCATGACAAACTTGATTCTAATTAAACAGGAAAGTAACCACTCTCATTACATAAAATAAGTGCTTTTAAAATAAAAAGTAGAGGTACAACAAATTTACAGACAACAAGATGTCTGTAAATAAAATTAATTACACTCACTAGATCACAGAGGATGACAAGTATATAATTTAACTTTGCCAATTTTAGTGATTCAACGTGACACTGTAGCAATCACATTACAAAAAAGAGCAAATATTGACAGTCTGACTAATCTTACCTCTGTACATGCCAAAGTAGCCTTCGGATTTAACTGTCTTTATTAGGCAATCCATCCTGAAGAAAAACAGGGAAACAGATAAGCCATCTTATCTACTGTGTTCACAAAAAATTAAATACGGAGGCAATATATCTTAACAGTACAACTTGTTCACAACATCACAGCACACATCACAAATAAGCTTTAAGGAAGGAGACAGTGTAAGAAAAGGCTACTGTATGTGGAGTTAATGGGGAAGCACTACAATAATATTATACCAAGTAATAATAGTAATAATACAATACCAAATCTAGAGGAGGAGCATGTTTTGACAGTAACTGGTGGAGAGGGAGTTGGGAGCACAGAAATCACTGATCTTTTGATTTGTGAGGGACTTACATGTTCTTGTAAAGTTGCTGCCCGCTACGTTGGTTCTGCAGGCGGGTCTTGGCCAGGTCAATTGGAAACACACAGGTGACTCCTACCATGCCTGCTATCCCTCCATTGATCAGTTTAGCTGGGAGGCTATACAGGGGCATGTCAAAACAGACAGGTGCATAACAATCATTTTTATTCTCACATTTCTACAACTGGAGTAAGGTGGGGCACTGTGACAAAACTGAAGCGGCAGAAGAATTGGTTGTCCAAAGTATAAGATCAAGAACATTGTCTGTAATTTGCTGTGCCTTTTAAATTGTGTGTGTGTGTTGTATGTGAGGCATTAGCTCTGCAATAGAACTGCGTATACAGTGACTGCCTCTGGGAACCAGGTCATCCAAAAATAGCTTGTCAGCAGAGCAAATGTTTGTATGAAGCATTACACATCCTATGGCGTCATGTTAGCTCTAGCAACACAACATATGGCAAATTAGAACTGTTCATTATACAAAATTAGCTGAATACAGTAATCGAGCATGTTACACATTTTTTCTCTGTGACCAGCCTACATATCATGCTAGAGAGTCTGATCATGTTCATACCTAATCTGCTGTTGTTGGGCCATGGTTCTTTGTTGTCCTGAGAGCAAAGGTTCCTGAGGAGGCCGCAAAGGGAAAGCAGGCTGTGAGTCCCTGAGACATAGAGTATGACAAGAGTGGAAAGAGGCTGAGGGTTATATATACTGAGGCAGATCAGAGGATAAATTTGACATTACTCTCCACCCACTGCACTACCAGCCAAAAAAAAAAAAAAAAAAAAGGAGTCAGAGTCAGTCATCAGCTTACCAAAACCACACCACAATCCAAAAAGCTCCTGGCATGAACCTCCCTACTGTGTGGACAAATTAGTTCCAGTTTTAAACAGGGCTTCTGTCCACAGTATCATGGTTACAAAATCATATACAGGACTTATGGAGTGAGGAAAATCATAAATAAAGAAGCCCCAATTCATTATGTCTGTCTAAATTTATAGCAGTTTAAGTAAAGAGGATCTGATAATTGACAGGATTAATGTTGGCTGTGCAACACAATTTCTGATTAACCTCACTCATGTACATTTTCTGTATAATGCAATAAAGTTCTACAGGCACACAAACTACATTTTCCAAAATGATCATACAATGGAATCAACGCCTCCTTGAAGCAGTTTAAACAAAAACTGAAAAGTCATCACCTTCATGGAGGAGGATTCACTGCAGGAGTGTTGCATTAGGCGTACCTAATATACTGCCAGTGACACATATATTTTGCACAGTGACTGTCATCATATCCACATCCATAGTAAACAACAACCACAAAAAAAACGCCTAAACAGCTGAAATAAAGATGAATCATCTGTTAAATGGTGCCCCAAGTGGTCACTGGGTGTAACAATAACATTTTCTAATTTGTGATTCGGGGGCTGGGGGTCAATTATAGAAAAATAAAAGACGTACAGTAGTGACTAACAAAAGCCACGACCAGTTTCTGATATTTCAACTACAAATTAGGTGACCCATTATTATTTTAGATAACATAGTAAAACATTATTAATATAGCTGAAACTAAGCAGGTTAGGGTCTCAACAGTCACAGAATACAGTGTAACACTGTAAAGAATGTCCACCAAAACAAACTGTGAACATTTGGTAGACTCACCCTGCTCTTTATGACCTAGGGTTCTGGTATAACCAACAGACGGTCATTGATGTGTGAAGTAATTTTTGTGACACTACACTGGGTAAGGTTATTGAATATTTTTGTAATAGGCCTCTCTCTTTTCAGTGTCGCACTTTGTAGACGGTCCCTGCGCACTGGTCTCACACCTGTTGTACATTGAGACCAGTAGAAAAATAACACTTTTTCTGGATGACTCATTTTAAGAAAAAAAAGAGCTTGTCGCTTGTTGTCTACATTACTACGCAACAAAAGAGGTGTCGTTTGTATTTTAGCAACGTTATCCTTATTGATCCGGAAAGTTCGACTCTGTGAATATCTTTCCACCTTTACCGAAGTCAGCCACTATTACATACCTTTGTCAGTACACTGGACTGACAGCTATCGCCTTGTCTGCGAGCAAATAAGATATTTGCATGTTACGTGTGCGTTATCAGTAGGTCAAGAACATCATAATGACCTAATATGACTTCACTCCAAAAGCAAAGCGCACGGGTTTGCTCAAATATTGGTAGGGACATTTCTGTCCTCCTATTGATAGGGGCATGTCCTTACTGTCGACATGCAAAACTACACCCAACTTAAATTTTAGTCAAAGACAAATGAAGTCTGCAGTAGCAACTTTAAAATGTCGATTCTTACCCTGTACAACTGCACAGGCTCGGCCTTAACCAATTTGGCGCCCTAGGCAAGATTTCAGGTGGCGCCCCGTTGCATCACAGTAAATTCCACTGCTAGTGTATATACTCATAAGAAACGTAATAGCTTTGTCTTGGACATTCTTTTATTTAAATAAAGCAATTGCACATTCAAAATACTTAGAAAGAATTAAAGAAACAAATAAAATAAATGAACTGAACATATGAAATACAATATAAATAGCTTACATAAAGTACCTATTAATACTCCCAAAATAAAAAGTGTAAACAAGTGACATTAACTTAAAAATACAATATAAATACGGCACTGTGCAAAATAAG